AGTTTGGCTTTGTTGCCTCTGAAACTTAAAGTAGCCTCATGGCCCTCATCATATGCTCTAGCAGCATCCTCTGCAGACTGCAATGTCAAATGTGCCTAACCAAACTCTTGTAGCTTTATATGGATTTCTTATTGTTGAAATTTGGGTTTTGTTGAAGCTCTTTATTGTTGAAATTTGGGTTTTGTTGAAATTGCCTCTATTGTGCTTTTATGTGAATTGTTATNTGAAGCTCTTTATTGTTGAAATTTGGGTTTTGTTGAAATTGCTTTTGTTGTGCTTTTATGTGAATTGTTATAGAATTGCACCTATCAATTACAACCAAAAATTTGTGAATTGTTGAAATTTGTGTTTTGTTGAATGTGCTTTATATAATTGTTATAGAATTGCACCTATGAATTTCGGTAATATTATTTTATATTTTTATCATCATTAAATTCATAACCAAAAACTCGACGTTTCAACATCGATAAATTGTGCCCACCCTGAATTACAATCCTGGCTCCGCCCCTGCCCTCAGCGATACGAATTAATGCAATGATTTGTGTGGCTTTCAAAAAGAAGAAGAAGAGGAAGATTATGTGTGATATGCATGTAATATAATTGAACAAATTTGATTTTATGGTTATTCTTTAATATTATTCAGTGTTGTACCATCAACATTTTCAAACAAATTATAAACGTTTAATTACAAGTACAGTTTTTCCAAATTAAGTGCATTTTTTCAGTAAGATTATCAAGTGAACTAGGTAAATTTTCATTTTTTTTGGTTCCATTTTGCAAGTATCTTACTTTTTCTTTTACAATTTAACAATTAGGAGGGGTTGTTATCAAAATAGATAAATTATTTTCTATAAACATATTAAAAAATATGATTAAAATAATAAAGAAATAAACTTTAAAAACCTGGAAAATTAGATAATAAATATATTTCATCCTCACTTATTAAAATAATAGTAAACCTATGAATGATTAAATACAAAAGTACATTAAATAAAAATGAACTACAAGAATATTAATTGTATTTGAAAAGGATATTTTAAAACAATATTTTATTAATTTGTGAAATGATTATATACATGTTAGTGTTGATTAAATTATGTATATTTTCAAATTAATATATAAAACTATTAAGCATGCTGAGAGACTAATGAATGTGTCTCAACTCTTAACAAACATAAGCATTGGATGCAGTTTGTAAATTACATTCTTAAAGTTCAATCTCGTGTACTAAATACGCTTAGATTCGCAAGAAACATTTAGCAAAAAAATCTTAAAAACAGTAACAAAGATCATTTTAAACCAATAAAAACATAAAAACACAAATGGTAATACAATATTATGATATAATAAGGTGTGATTATGCAGAAGACTAGTAACAATTGCCTCAATCTTCAGTTTCCTGGTATTTCTGGAGGACTTGAGGGCAGCTAGCCAAAGGCTCATTCTTGAGGAATCCCATGGCATTGGCGAAACGAGCATTCGAGTTCATGCCATTGTTGCGGGTAAGAATGACACGGGCACGGTCCCGACCAGAGCTCGGAATGTTGCATTCATGGTCTGAACTCTTTACTAACACTGCCTCACATACCTCATCCTCACGGTCGTCCTGCACCAAGATGTTGTAGGATCCGGTTGAGTCTGTCACGCTCTCAACCATATAGGTGACTTGCGAAGTGTCACGGGTTCTGCACTCAAGTTTAACTTGGGCACCTGAAAAGCACAGGTAGTTTACAATGACAATCGAACTATATCAAGACCTGATTTTTACCGGTCCATCTAGTTATTATGATAATAAGACTTAGCACAAAATTAGCGTAAATGGTTATGGAAAATTAACTTCGTAGAGGCATCAAGCTCGAAGGTTCAACTAATTCCCTATCCACACATCTATTTAGGTAGACTGAATCTCAATGGACAATATTAAGGAATAAGCTAAGCTCGAAGATTCATCTATACTTACGTGGTAAGATGAACTAATTCATAACAATGGCATTAATCTAAATTTTTGTGAGATTCATTGTTGTCTAGTATCCCACATCAAATATATTTTAGCTCTTTTTTTTTTACTAATGGAACCCATTTATAACCGTTGTGATTGGTGATTTGTGTCATTACAAACCTTAATAAAAATAGAAACATAAAACTAATCAAGGTTTCAAGTAAAATGTTTAGTCCTTCGATTATTTTTCCTAGCCAATTACAAGTAAATTTAGAGCAATTGCTTGCCAAAATTGTTTTTAAGGAAATGTTTTTATTGAGAAAGTTATCGTCTACTCAGGGTCTCTGAGGTGAGTACCCAGTCGTAAACTTCAGGGGTCCCATGAGATTAGTCGAGGTACGCGTAAGCTGATCCGGACATCCACAGTTTGAAAAAAAAACTAACTAGAACTGCACCACATTAACTAGATCTGACAAACTATGAAACTGAACATCCAATAAGTCTGTAAGTGAGAAATATTTTACATACAAAATACATAGATCTAAACCATAGTGCACATGTATTTGTGTTTTACATACAAAATACATAGAAAATCGAAAACAAGAAAAAACACGATTCATATTAGAGTGATTCAGTCTCAATCTGAGAGCCAAGTCTAATCGCAACAGTCGATAACTAGGCTTTTACACATCCAATGTAACATATTGATACTGTACCTGGGA